AGGAATGGGCACCAGGCTGGGGACATTGCCACCAGGCTGGGACACTGCCACCAGGCTGGGACATTGCAGGAGTGAGCACCAGGCTGGAGATATTGCCACCAGGCTGGGGATATTGGCACCAGGCTGGGGGACACTGCCACCAGGCTGGGACACTGTAGGAGTGGGCACCAGGCTGGAGATATTGCCACCAGGCTGGGGACATTGGCACCAGGCTGGGGACACTGCCACCAGCACAGCCCCATCTCAGGAAAACATCTAAATTGCCAGGCCAAGAGATGTGATCCCACCAGAGGCTGGACAGGGGACTCAGAGCAGGGCAGTGTCAGGCAGCTCTGACAGGGAGGAGGAATATCAGAGTAACCTCTGCCAGAGTCAGATTGCAGGAAAGGCTGATTTCATGGCAGCTGAACCAGCTCCTCCTCCCCACTGAGCAAAAAACAAATGGATGGGGACTTGCTCATCTAAACACACAGGAAATGTCAGAGGAACAAACCTGAGCAGCTGCCATTGTAATTTATAAAACAAATTAAATCCATGGCAAAAATAAGCAAACTTAGAACAGAGAGATCACAGAACCTGGCAGGAAAAGGCCCCAGCCTGCATGAATCATTATTTTCTAGAGGAAACCTTATATAATCCAAGCTACCCCGTTTTAAAACAAACCAAACCTTCCAAAAACTCCCATTAAAGGGATTAGCAGAGCTCTGGTTTTCATTCAGGTGTTTTGGTAAGGTTAAAACAAGTCACCCACCTGGTGCAGATTAATCTGCTGTAGATTCCACCCTGCCCTTGGCACCCCTGGGCAGGAAGGGGAGCAGAGCCCTCACCTGGCCTCAGGGAGGTGCTTGCATTGCATTGCCATCTGCTGGACCAGGGGAAAGCAGGGACAGGGACAGACTGCTCCGTGCTCTGCAGGACACACTCCTGCCCAGCAGGGATCTGCTGTGCCTGCTCCTCACTCTCATTCATCTGAAGGCACACAGGGATGCACAAGGAGAGCGAGGTCTGCTGCCCTCAGGCTGCTGGGAACGGGATGGACACAGACTCACCCACCAGAATTAGAAGCTCCCTCTTTTCTTTTTCTGCTTGTTTTTACTCTGACAAACTCATGGTTTTCTGTGCTGCTTCTCCAGGAAACAGGAGCAGCAGGAGAACACCAGAGAGGGACTGGGGTGGGACCAGCAGTGCCCAGCTCCCCTCCCCAAAATCCATCCTTCAGCAGGACCTGAAGCATTTCTGACCCCACACATGGCACAGCTGAGGTGCAACCACCTCTGCACAGGTCACATCTGCCAATAAAGCTTCCAGCTGGGGCCTGAGCACCCAAAATCCCCTTGGCTGCTCCAGACACAAACATTGAGGATGTTCTATCGCAGCCAAAGCCTGGCTTAACCATCCTCTCTACTCATGGTCTTTAGCGAAATAACCAAACAAAAAATCCCACTGCAAAACTCAAGGATGGGGGAAAGTTACCCAAAAGCACCAAACCCATTTCCCCCAGCATCTCTGCATTAATTACACTTCAATTTATTTGCAAATTTTTAAATGCAGTTCTTAAGAGGACATTCCAAGGATTAAAGTTTCTAATAAAACCATTTATTGAGAAATGGTTGGTGAGTATTACTCTGCAGAAAGCCCTAAAGGTGCCCAGACTGGCAAAGACAGCACAAAGCAGCCCAGGAGCAGCAGTGGTGAGGCTGAGAAGGCAGGAGTGTGCACACACAGCCATTCCTGGAGCAAAGCTGGTGCAGGCAGCCTGGCACCTGACTGATGGGCTGAGTGAACTCCCTGCTGAAAGCTCAATGCAAATTTCTGAAATCCAAGAATCTTATATGTCCCAGCACCCCTGCTAATGCCCAGCACTCGCTGGGAAGGGAGAAAACAATGCCAGGCACTGTGCAAACATCTGCCTGCGGATGACTGATGATTTTCAACAATAATTTCATAAATGCAGAGGCTGGAGCCCATCCCGTGGTTATCCCTCCACTGCAATCCTGGGAGTGCCCAGTGCCACCAGTGTGGGGCTGCCTGAGGCCACTGGGACACAGCACAGCCTTCCCTGGGCACTGTCAGCAGCTCGGGGACAGCCAGAAAAATGACTCTGAAAATCAGCTGTGAATGGAATACACCCCCCCCAGGACGGGCTGAGGGCTGTGCCAGGCTGGGAATGCCCAGGGCATAGCCCCAAGGGCAGCACTGGGCTCACCAGAGGGCACTGGGAGCAGCCCCACAGCTGGAAATGGGGTTTGCATCAGAGGCAGATGTTGAAATATTGATTAAAGCTGGGCTTCTCCAGCAATCCTTTGATTTTCTGAGGATACTGGCTGCTAACAAAGACACACCCATTAATGCATGACATTCCTGCCTGTAAAACAGGGATTATTCCATTATTGCAGCCAGGGAGCTCTGCTTGTGCCCACAGCCCCTGGCTCCAGCACAGGCACTCAGCAGCAGAATAAAAAGACATCAGGATTTCAAAAAGGAGGGAAAAACACATTGCCAGCCACAGCTGGAGCAGAGGGGAGACTGGTCTGGGGGAGCAAGGGCTGAGCACTCACCCTGCTTTAAATCCCAAGTAAGGCATCAAACCCAGAGAGTTACTGAACTTGATCAATTTAATTTGATCAAATGTAAATGATAAACAGGCACTCTGGCAGGTGCCAGTCTTCCTGCTGCTTGGCCTCATTCCAGGGGCAATCCCATGTACAGGGAGGATATTTCTGATCCCAGTGCACCAGTTCATCCCAGTGCCAGGATAAGGGTGGAAGGGGATGGGAGGATGCTGCTGAAGCCTGTGTGCTCAGCTCTGCTGCTCCACAGCTCACGCCTGGGCAGGAGGAAGCAGCCAGCTGAGGCAATTTGGTGTTTGCTTATGCCCAAATTGTTATGCAAACACAGGAAGGCCTAGGGGAGCAGAGGGAACAGGCACCAGAGGCTGCACTTCTCACCAAAGCCAAATGTTTTCCAATGTGCAAAGGGTGAGAAAGGTCACCCCCAAGGAATCCAGGCCAGGATCCTCCCAGCCTTCCTTCTCCCATCCTCCTCCTCCTCTGAAATTCCCCAGGCAGCCAGGATGGGCTTCCTGAGTTAAAGACACAGCCCCATCATCATGCAACATGTCTGGGGCTGCACTTGCAGGAATGGAAATGGGGAATAAGGAACCTAAAAATGGGGAGAAATCCCTCCTGGACCCCCTGGGACTGACCCCCTGCCCACCCCCATCCCAAGCTGGGCTGCCCTGGACTCGTGAGGAACGCAAGGCCACAGGAATTAAGGGGAGACTCCAAAGGCACACAGGGCTACTCAGCATCATTCAAGTGCACTCAGCTTTAAATTAAATCCATCTTGCATCAACATCCAGGATCTAAAATAAAAGAGTCAGTCATGAACTCTGCAGTCACGCCTCTAATTCCAGCTGCAGTTGGTACGGGAGAACACAGAGACAAATGACTCTGACAAGTCAACTTTAACCTCCAGAAGAAGCCACAGCTTTCCATCAGCCTCCATCAACCACGCTTTCAGAACCTTATCACACATGGAGAGCCAAATAAATCCCTGGAGTTGTCAGTGCTGCAAAGATGCTTCACTGACAGGGAGAGCTGGGGAGCTGTGCAGGCAGAGCCTCACTGCACAGAGGGAAATCTCCCTGCCACCAGCCACAGGCAAGCTGGGACCACCTCCGACCTTGGATTACTCTTTAGTGAGCTACATAGACCCAATTTCAGCAACTTCTGACTGACAGTCAAAATTCTGTAGAGCATTGTGAGTCTTCTAGTACGGTAAAATCCAGGGAGACCAGAAGCAGAAATGCTGATCCAGACCTGAACTGTGACCACCTCCCCAGGGATTTCATCCCCCAGTCAGTCACTTTCCCAACAGAAAGACACTTTCTCCACCCTCCACAGCATCCTCTCCTGGTCAGAGCTCCAGCCCTCAGCCCTTCATCCAAGCCTGCCTGTGGATATCCCTGTCCTTGGCTGTCTGCAGAGCAAGGCCAGTTTAGTTTAGCAGCTTGCACATCACTGCAGGGTCACCAGGAAGGATTTCATGCCTGGCAGGCTCTGAGTGCTGCTGGGTTAGGAGCTCATTCCTGCAGGACACCCCAGGAACACCCCTGCAGCCCCGCTCCCTGCTGTGCCAGCTTTGTGAGAGCTGGTAGCAAGTTTGTGTAAAGCTAATTAACATGCACTGCTCTAATTTCAAACCATTTCTTACAATCAGGACATTGTGCAAGGCTGGAGTCAAACGGCTGAAGGGAATTAACTGCACCAGCACTTCAACCCAGCCAGTCAGAGCTGCTGAGATGTGTGGAGTGCTGGGGTTTGTGCCTCAGGGGGAGCACTGCACAGCAATTAGCAACAGTTAATAACTGCACATCCTCAGTGAAAAACTGCCCTGGTGATGCCTCAGGTTTAGCTTTTGTATTTTTCACATTCTGTGCTGGCTAGGTGGGCAGTTCTGAGCTTCATAGTAAGGGATGGTGAGCTCTGTGCACAGAGCAGGGAGACAAAACAATTCCTACTCCAGCTGGGCACCAAGGACAAATGATCCAAATCTCAGGTCCAAGAGCACAAACACCGTGGGCTGGAGAGAGAAAAACAAGCAGGGTGGGACTGCCTGGGCTAAAGCTGGAATGGGACAATGAACTGCAAGGTGCAAATGGAGCAGAACTGATCCCAGGGAGAGACCCCGTGCCCGGTCGTGCATTTTGGGACCATTTTGGTTCATTTTGGGACCATTTTGGTTCATCTTGGGTGCAGCCCTGGCTGGGTTCTTGTGCTGCCCAAGGTGGATCCATTAAGGAGATCCTTTGAATAAATCCCTGCTTTATTCTGTAACTCTGCCCAGCCTCTGCTCCAGCTCAGCCCCCAGGGCAGCCCTGGGTGGGTGTTTGTTCTGCACCCCTGGGTGTGTGAGCAGCACCCCTGGGTGTGTGTTTGCCCTGCACCCCATGGTGTGCGCCCTGCACCCCTGGGTGTTTCCCTGCACCCCTCTCCTACCACATGACGTGGATTTCCTCTCCACTGCCTGCACGTGCCGTGTCTGGCTGCGCAGCCGCCCGTCTGTGCTCTCCACCAGGCTTGTCAGGTCATCGATGATCTCTGGGGAGAGAGGAACAGGAACATCAAACCTGAGCCCACAGCAGCCCTGCCCAGCCTCCCTCCTGCTGGAAACCCCAGAAAGGAACCAGCTGCATCCCCCAGAGGGACACACCAGGGCTCCCATCACTGAAAGGTCCAAATCCTGGGAGGTACCACACCAGAGACTGCAGATTCAGTGCAGTGCTCCACTGCTAGAGTGAGGAGAAAGCACAGCCTGAAGTGGAGGAAAAAATACAGCCTAAAACAGCAGCACCAGTCTAGGAGGTCAGGGAGGACAGGATGGTGGCAGCCACAAAGCTGATGTGAGCCAAAGTGAGGGAATTAATGCCTGTGCTACAGGAAATCTGGAATTTCAGTCCCTGGAACAGCATCTCAGCACTTGGTCACGACATCCTCACTAGACCACATCCACCACCTTCATAAAGGCTTCTGGGAGCACCCAGTGCAGCCCTGACCACGCCACCACTGAGGTCACAAATGCTGCCCTGGTTCCCTCCTGGAGCTGTGGGTCTGGCAGCTCTCCCTGCAGCCCAGAAGGTCTTCTGGGAAAAGAAAAGCAGGCAGAGTTTCCCCTACATTAAATTTTAAGAGAGGAGAAAGGAAAACTTGAAGCCAAGCCACCCTCGACCTCCTGTAAGTGATGGCTTTAATTTTGTCATGGAAAGCAGAGCTGGTACAAGGCTTTCCCTGAGAGTGGCTGATGGGATGGCTCAACACAAAAAGCCACATTCAGGCAGGAAATTTCCCTCTCAGTGCCTGTTATGCTCTGATTGCCCTGGAACACCCAGCCAGTGCTCCTGGTGCCTGCACACACCAGTTCTGGTGTGCCCCCAGTCCTGCAGGTAGGAGAGGCTTCCTGTGTGCCTGACAGATAGGGGAGGACAGCAGCCAAGCCCTGAGTGCTGTGCACAGCCACTTCAGCACCCTGCCCACTATTGATGCTGGTCTCTGTAAGCCCTGCCTGCCTTTGAGCCAGGCCTGGGGACAGTGGCTGTGCCCTTGTACCCCAGCAGGTCCTGGCACTGCAGCCCTGCCCTGAGGGAACCAACCAAAGCAGAAGTCAGAGCACACAGCAGACAAAGTGACACCCTGCCCAAAATGGCTCAAACCCTGAATGGGTGATGGCAGAGGGTTAAAGAACATTTAAAGAATATAATCCGTCAGGACATAGCCTTTATTATGAAGCCTTTATTGGTTTGACTGTGTTCCTTCAAACAGAAGATTTCCCAGCTGTCTCCACAAGGGAAAAGGGGTGACAGTGAACAGACAGGGAAGACAGGGCATTCCTTGTGCTTCCCAAAGTTCCCTGTGACACAGGGAGCCCCTGTCCTTACAAGAGCAGTGCCAGGGTGTGACAATAGTTCTTGCAGCTTCCCTGCTGTCCCCCCTGTGACTAGGAATGGTTTTCTGCACCATTGACCTTCCCAGAGCAGATAACAGAAACTCCTGAGCTGGGAGGGACCCCCAGGATCACCCAGCCCAGACCCCCCAACAATCCCACCCTGCCCAAAGGCACCTGGAGCTCTGGCAGCCTCAGGGCTGTGCCCATTCCCTGGGGAGCCTGGGCAGTGCCAGCACCCTCTGGGGAGGAACCTTCCCCCAAATCCATCCCAAACCTCTCCTGACACAGCTCCAGCTGTTCCCTCAGGTCCCAGATGTTCATTATGGAGGGTGTTTATGTTCTCAGTCTTATCAAGGAACAAGCACTGTATCACACACAGATAAAACCAGGCTGATTGTACACAGAGATAGCAAAAGCCACATAAAATTATCAAAGTTCTGCAGCACAAAGGAAATGTCTAAGGCACACAGAGCACGGAGGTTTTGCTCTCCCGGAGAGCTGAGACATTTGAGCAGCATCCTTGCAGTGCATGATTCCATCTGCTCCACCAACACTCTGTCATCTCCAGTGAGTCCCCATGTAAAATGATATCAGTATCTAAAAAACCCTGGGCTTTGAAAACACACAGCTCTCTTAAAGCCTGAGCTCCTGATTCCTGTCCTGCAGCCCAAACCATCCCTGAATCCCCAGGAAGGAGGGCAGGGGGCAAACATCAACCATTCCCGTTTCACCAAATATCAGCCATTCCCGTGTTCCACCAAACATGAACCACCCCCTGTGTTCCACCAAACATCAACTACCCTGTGTTTTACCAAATATCAACCACTGCCCTGTGTTCTACCAAATATCAACCACCCTGTGTTTTACCAAATATCAACCACTTCCCTGTGTTTTACCAAACATCAACCCTTTCCCTGTGTTTTACCAAACATCAACCACTTCCCTGTTTTATCAAATATCAGCCATTCCCCTGTGTTCTACCAAAATCAACCACCCCCTGTGTTCTACCAAACATCAACCACCCCCTGTGTTTTACCCTCTGCATCTGACCATGCACCCCACCAACACTGCTCTATGCCAAACACAAACTCTCCTTATTTCTAAAGTTGTTTGCAATATTGAAAATCACTGTTCATCACTATTATGGCACTCAGTATTGTCCATCCTACACCAGCACACGTTTTCCCAAGGGATGGGAGGCATTTTGTTTGAGCTACCAGGTTTGCTCAGTTTTCAGTTCAGATATTCACTCTCCTCCCCCTTCCACCCAACTTTCCCAGGTCTGACATCTGCAAAGCCAACAACATTTTGGGGACACTTTATCTGTCCTGCGTGATTCAGCACACAGGAAGAGCAGGACAATGCTGCTTGCAAGGGCAGGACTGCTGATGTTTGCCTCTCCACCAAAAAAGTGCTGCAAGTCCCCATCGTTGTCAAGGACAAAGTGATAAGCATGCTTGGGAAACTGGAGACTTTCCTCTGCCAGCACGGACCAGACCCTCCTTGAAAAACATCCTGGTGAACAAGCTGTAGCTAAATGAGAACAAATGTGAGCAGGGAAATTTTCTGTCATCATTTCAAAGCCCAAGGCACTGCAATTGGGATTCTGCAGGGAGCCTCTCCTTTCCCATCCCACTGCCAGGACCCATTGCTGAACCAAAGGGCTGCCCTGCACATCCTGGAAGGAGCATTTCTCCAGATATATATATATATATATATATATATAAACATGATAGATAGACAGATAGATAGATAGATAAAAACATGTTTTGTGACACAGTCAGCTTCCAGGGGAGCAGGGCACTTCACCCACAGCTCAAACACCCAGCCTGGGATAGGGAGAATTCTGGAGGGCTCATGGCAGCACCTGGAGGTCTGAGCAGCTGGAACAGGGAGGAAGCACAAGGAGGTTCTGACCCCAGTCCCAGCTGAAGCAGAAGTTCAGCCCAGCAGGTTCCTCTGAAGAGAAACATCCACCCATCCATCCACTCATCCATCCCCCATCCATCCATCCATCCCCTGCACCCACAGATCCCCTGTTGTGGTGACACCCAAGCACAGGGCAGTGCCCAACCTCCCTGTAAATTCAATATTTCTCCCCACTCCAAAGGAAATCCGTGTTGGATAAGGCAGAGTTGAAAATTAGCCCTGGATTTCTAAGATGGGCACCAAGGAATCCACAGCTAAGGAATTTCTCAGAGCACTGACCTTCCTCAGGTTCCTTTCCTGACGCACCTGCAGCCCCCCCTGCCCTTCACGCTGGCAATTCCACATTCTATCACCTCCCATTCAGCTGGCCATGCAAGGAACAGGCTAAAAAAGGATGGAGAGAGAGCTGGCAGAGGGAGGGAGCAGACGGGGGAAGGCAGGCTGGCTGCTGGTGACCTTCCAAAGGACACTCCTGTAACACAGCCCTGCAACCACAACCCAGCCAGGAGCACATCTCAGCCAGGGCTCCTTTCAGGGAAGCAGGAGATCAAACCCAGTGCCCAAGCCCAGCACTAAACTCAGAATCACTTCAGCACAGCCCAAGTGGGAGAGGTTTGGAGGTCAGAGCTGGAGGTGAGCTGGGCCAGGAGCTGCTCCATCAGCCCAAATCCCACTGTCCCAGCTGTCCCCATTCCTGTCCCTGTGCTCCATCAGCCCAAATCCCACTGTCCCAGCTGTCCCCATCCCTGTCCCTGTGCTCCATCAGCCCAAACCCCACTGTCCCAGCTGTCCCCATCCCTGCACACGTGTCCCGAGGTTTTTTATTTTTTTAAATCCCTCTCCTTAACTCAGGAATTCCTTGGGAAGGGTGACCATCTCCTCCCATGAAGTGGAACAGGTTTTAGAGTTCTGCACACATGACTTTACACTAATAGATTTTTTTTTTTTTGCCCGCTTGTTTTCTTTAAAATGCATTAGAAGTCGCATTTGGGTTTGGCAACTCCATCTGTGACCTGCACCCTTTCTGTCTGTGAGTGAGAAACCCAAAAGCCAAGCAGAGGTGGCCACATGAAATTCAGCACTGGAAGAGAGAAGCAGACCTGGGGTTTGATCAGTTCTCAGAGCAGTGCTGCTGCTGACCAGACATTTCCTTAGAATGGTTGGGATTTTCCATGTATTGAAATTTATGGATCACTCAATGGCATTTATTGGTGAGTAATGCACCTCCAGGCCTGCCCCACTGAGTCATGGAGACTCCAGGCAGCCTTAGGAAAACAGAGAGAGCTGAAATCCCAACATAAACCCAATTACAGTGAGGCTGGAATCCAGAGGAGAGGCCAGGCAGGCTCTCCCTCCCTCAGGTCTCTGGTGCCTCAGGAGAAGAGCTGGATACCAAAGAAATGAATCACAGAGGGAATGCCAACCCCTATATGTCCAAACCCCATAATTGCATGGCAATAAGAAAGCAAAGCATTGTTCCAAGTGCCAGGGCTATGAAATGAAGATTGCAACTGATGTAAGCACATCAGAAACCTGAACAACCTCAGCACTGTGTGCCAGCTGCAATGTCAAGGCAGAGTGAAAAGAGGAAAAATGTAGTAAAAAACACAAAGCCAGGAATCCTAATTTGTCTCCTGGCTGCAGCCATGGCAGGTTTTTGTAGCTTTCTGAGGTGTGCAGCTGCCTGTGCCAAAGGCAGCACAGGAGTGCCCTTCTGGGCTTCTCCT